CACTGGCACGCCAAAACACTGGAGGCGTCGAGTCGTTGTCTTCATCTTGGTCCCCAGACTTTTCTTCTTCGTCGGGGTCGGCTCGGCGCGAGGAGGATACGTCCGGCGCACTTGCTTCTTCTAAGCCAGCTCGGTGGCGAACGGGGCGCGATCTTCTGGCAGTGTTGTCGTCGCCACTCGGTCGGTACTTGCGCTTCCCCGCCTGCTTGAAGCTCGTTTGGCGCGGTCCATCGTTGTCGTCCAGGTCCAGCGCGTCCAAGTCCAGCACAGCATCATCGACGTCTTCATCCGAAGTATGCGTCGAAAGTCCAAAGGTCGACTCATCGAAGTTGACATCGCGACTGATAACCACCTGCCCCGCCTCGATGTCATAAACTCGATACGCCTTGGACACTTCTTCGTAGCCGAGGAACAGCCCGGCGCGAGCCTTGGGGTCCCACTTGCGCCGTCTTTCCTTCGGCGTCAGGATGTACGTCTGGCATCCGAACACACGCATGTGCTTCACACTCGGCTTGGACTTGTAAACGATCTCGAACGGAGTCTTGTGTTCGATCTTGGGTGATGGCAGACGATTCTTCACGTAGATGGCTGTCATGGCCGCCTCAGCCCAGAAGCTCTTGTCCAGCTTGGCGTGATGCAGCATGCTGCGGCCAATCGTGACGATGGTCCGGATGGCGCGTTCTGCCGTGCCGTTGGTCTGGTGCGCGTACGGAACCGTGGTTTGCTGCTCGATGCCTTCGACTTCGTAGAAGGCCTTGAGCGTGTTGGTCGCGAACTCACGGGCTCCGTCGTGCCGCACAAACTTGACTTCTTGCCGAACTGCGTCTGCACCTTCGTGACGTACATCTTGATGCAGTCCTCGCTCTCCGACTTGGCACGCAGGCAGAACCCCTTCATGCATCCGCTGGCTTCGTCCACGATCAGCAGCAGATACTTGCTGCCACCCAGTGACTCTTCTTCCATGGGGCCGCACACGTCGAAGTGGAGCAGCTCGAACGTGTCGTAGTGACGCTTGTCACGGTTGCTTGGGAACGGCTTCTGGACCATTTTCCCTTGCTGGCAGCCGCGACACACGCTTGGTCCACTCGACTTGGAAGGTGCCTTCGCGTCCTTGATCATGTTGTTGTCGACCATCTTGCGAAGCACCTCCACCGGAGCGTGACCCATACGCGCGTGTAAGTCGACCGCCTTCCCACTGGTCGCCGCATTCGCCGATCGCTGAGGCGTCTGGAGCCAGTAGAGTCCATCCACGAGGTTTGCCGTCGCCACCACTTGCTTGGAGCCCTTGTGCGCAATCTGCATCTTGGTGCTGTCGAACACGACTTGGAACAGACCACTCTTGTTGATCTGTGGCACCGAAAGCAGATTCTTGCTCATGCTTGGGACGTACAGCGCGTTCTTGATCTCGATGTCGCGCTCGTCGACGTTTGGCAGAACCACTCGTTCCCCACACCCATGATGGCCGCCTTGTTGCCGTCGGCCACCGAAAGTTCGCCTTCATTCCGCTCAATCAAATGAGCGAACTTGGCCTTGTCGTTGCAGATGTGGTGCGTTGCGCCGCTGTCGACCGTCCACAACCCGGACACATTCTTGCCCGTCGAAATGCCACGCTCCAGTGAGACCGCGAACGCCACTCGATCATAGCCGTAGTCGTAGTTGTAGCTGGCGTCGTCGTTCCTCCACTGGGCATTGTTGGCCCCGCGTCCACGGCCATTGCCATTGCCGCCGCGTCTTGGGCCCCGATTCTCGTCCTTCTGCTTGGTCCAGCACTTGTCAATCGTGTGCCCCAATTTCCCGCAGTACGTACACTGGCGAGACTCTCGGTCGGTGTTGAACGCCTTGGCCGCATTCTCCGTCTTCACCGTCGCCGTCTTCTCGCCATGTCTCTTGATGTGCTCATTCGTCAGCACCTTCACGACGTCTTGCGATCGTAGTTCAGCGCTGCTCATCTCCAAGTTCAGCACGACGTTCTCGTAGCTCTTGGGGAGGCTGCGCAACAGGCAGATCGCCACGTCCTCATCCTCCATCTTGGCGCCGATGCTGCTGAGCTTGGCGCTGATGTTGAGGACCTCGTTGCAATGATGCAAGACGTTGCCGCCTTCCGACATCTCCATGCTGAAGAGTCGGCGCTTCAGGTAGATGCGTCCAGCCTTCTGCGAACCACCGTACAGCGTCTTCAGGCGCGTCCACGCAACCCACGCTTCCTCGCAGTCGTCGACCACATGGTGGTAGTCCGCGTCCATGTGGAGCAACATCAGTCCGAACGCGATGTTGCTCGACTTGACGTAGTCGTCCTTGGCCCGCGAGTCCGTGAAGCTCGGCGTCGTCTCGCGGTTCACGACATGCCACGTCGACTTGGTCAGGAACACGCCACGCATGTAGCGGTTCCACGTCGCGTAGTTGTCCCCGTTGAACTTGTCAATGGAGACCTTGGTCGAGGCGTCTTGGGCAGAGGACATGGTGCTTGGGCTCATAACCTGATGGAAGGTATGGATCTTGGACACGAAGCTCGGACGAAGCGGAGGGAGGGACGTCGCAGACGGCGGGGCCGGAGCGAAGGCACTTGAGGGGTAGAATGAAGATTTGAAAGTGATTGAATTGTTGGAGCTTACACCCTACTGTTATAGACACGCGACCCTGCGTCCTATCACCTAGTGCATCTAATCAACCATCACTCACCGGTGTTCATCCAATCATCCTACTCGTCTAATCATCGGTGGCGTAAACAACTTACCGTAATCACCATAATCAACGTGGGTTCGGATTGGACCGGTTCGGGTTAACCGGTTAATGGGTACAACTGGTACACAGTACCCAAGACCAGCAACCCTCAATAATGTGCCCAATATCCGTTAAAACCAGCAGCAGCGAGTGGAAATATAGGGACCGTTCAGTGGCTTTGCGAACATTTGAAACAATTGGCGGGAACCCGGGTACCCATCGGGACCCCGGTTCCCCCAAAACTACCGGTACACATGTATGAGCAAATGCATTGAAGTGTTGGTCTATGACCTACATAGAACGCAGCTAAAGCTCAGTAGGGGAACGGAAGGTTAATTTACATTCGCCCTCGTCCTGTATCTCTCCACGAAAATCCAGTCGCTTGCCTGGTGCAGTGGTACAGTGCTTCCCGGTCTCATCGCTATCCTCCTGCTCATGAAAGATAAACTTGGACATGGTAAGGTATGTTATTTGGGTCTATTCAGTACCGGTGGCATATTTTGAGAGTAGTCATTCATCGACAGCACTTAGATATGAGGGTTTAACTTGCCCCGAGGGCACCAATATGGAGGCCAAAAATTAAATAAATAATTCGCGATTTGGTCGGTATCATTTGCGGGAACCCGGGTTCCCGCCAATTGTTTCATTTCGAGCGTAAAGTTGCCGACGCTTTTGATGCAGCAGCGTCGAACGGCCAGTGGGCTATCGTACGCTGGCTTCTGCGCGGACAAGACCTGGCTGCTGCTCTCCGGTCTAAGTACATCTGTGGAAGCTCAAACTACATCAGGGGATGCTCAGCGCCCTGGACTTGCTCAAATTTCTGTTTGACCGAGGGCTAGTGGAAGATCCCGTTTGGGTTATTGAGGTGTCCGCTGAGCACGGTCGGCTGGACATCGTCAAATGGTTATTCGAAGGAAGAGGGATTGATGACGTTGGTGACGCATTCCAGCGAGCTGCAGACAAAGGACATCCTGAAGTATTTGCACGAAAAGATCCCAGACGATTGCAAGCGCTCGGATTTGGACAGTGATGCCCAAGCAGGATTCCTTAACGTAGTTCAGTGGCTACACGAGAACACGCACGCCCACTGTTCAGTCGCTGCGATGGATGGAGCTGCGCGCAATGGACACTTCAAGATGGTGCAATGGCTCCCCGATAATCGCCCAGAGGGGTGGACCTCGTCTGCAATGCATGGTGCAGTTGAAAAGGGTCATCAGGACGTGGTCTTGTGGCTCCACGAGAACAGAACGGAGGGTTGTCGACGCGATACATTGAAAGTCTGTGCCGTTCGCGGCAACTTGGAGATGGTGAAGTGGTTGAAGGCCAATAGAGATGAAGATTTCAATCTCAACGGAATCTTGGATGCAGCCGCTGGCCGCGATCACCTGTATGTCGTGCAGTGGGTGCATGAAAACCTCAACGTAGGATGTAATACTCGAGCGATGGATGGTGCAGCTTTGAGGGGTCATCTGGATTTTGTGAAATGGTTGCACTTGCACCGTCGAGAAGGGTGCACTACACGAGCGATGGATGGCGCAGCTATCAACGGACATGGTCAAATGGCTGCATGCTAACCGAGATGAGGGCTGTACTACGAGGGCAATGGATGGAGTAGCTAAAAAGGGTCTACTGAAAGTGGTCAAGTGGCTTAGCCAGTTTTGCACCGAGCAATGTACGGACCAGGCGATCGTAGTGACAATCGAAGTCAACAGCAGCAACAGTCTTGAGATTGCGGAGATACTCTTCTCAACATTCCCACAGCGTCGGTGGTTTGAATTATCGCAGGAATTTATCGTTTCGCGGGTGGAGATTGTGGAATGGTTGCTTGAACGTGCTCCAGCCTCGCTAATCGGGTGCATTCTTTACATGAGTCCGTGGAATTGGTACCTCCGTGACTGGTTGCGGCTGCACCATGCGTCACTTTTTTTTATCAAGCTCCATGACATGAAGTGGCTACCGACTTTTTTATTGCTATATGAAACTACTAACCACGTAGTTCAAAAGAAAAGTATTTTGATTTCCTTTACCGTTTAGCGTGAATTGTTACCACAGCTCTATTGAGAAGCTCCCGGCCAGTTGCACATAATACCAGACCCAGGTTTACAGTAGTAGCACGAAGTAATAATTTCGTGAACGTGCACCTCTCATTGATCTTTATATTGATTCAAGCTGTGATATGAACCACGGAAAACTGACGAAGCAGAAGCCAGTCACAACAGTACTCGTTCCAGGGGCTGGCATGAATCGTGCGTCCTTTTAGCAAGCGCAGTCGGCTTGCATCCCTCGGTACGATTCTGAATCAGCCACTTTACCACTTTAGGGTGAGACCCCCATCGAGCTACTCCATCCATTGCATTCGTCGTACAGCCTTCCTTTCGATTGGCATGTAGCCACTTGACGACTTCCAAATGTCCATTTGTAGCTGCTCCATCCATTGCATTCGTGGTGCACCCTTCGCTTCGGTGCCCGTGCAGCCACTGCACTACATCAAGATGACCGCTACAAGCAGCCCAATCCATAGCTGCAGTAGTGCACCCTTCGTTGCGGTTTTCGTGCAACCACTGCACCGCATCCAAGTGACCATTTGCAGCAGCTACGTCCATAACTCCGTCAAGGTCGAACGCTTCGCTCCGGGTAGAGTGTAGCCACTTGACCATTACAAGATTCCCCTTTGTGGCACATTCTCTCATCGTATCGTGTTGGCAGCCCTCGGATCGATTCTCATCAAGCCACTGGACCACGTCAATGTGGCCGCGTACAACGGCTAGGTGCATTGCTTGAGCTGAACAACCTTCCGTGCGATTAGCGTGAAGCCATTTCACTGTTTCAAGGTGGCCTCTTGCAGCTGCCATATCCATAGCACTCTTGGAACAACCGGTATTTACAGTGTCGTGAAGCCATTGCACCGTCTCGAGAGAGCCGATCCCAGCAGCGTAATCCAACCCCGCCCAGCTACTGTGCCACATATTCCTTTCGTGGAAATATTTCAATACGTTTACCCGCCCTTCGTTGGCAGCTCGACGGAATGCGTGTGACTCCCCTCTCTTCAACGAACCATTCGACAATATGCACGTGACCACACTCAGCAGCTTCAGTAAAAATCTCCCCTAACTTAGTCGCGCCTATACGAGGAGCAAGTCGCTTTAAACTGTCCAATTTCCCTTCCCTCGCGCAAAAGTATCCAAGATTTGTGATACCTTTGTCGGATAACTCACTTGAACAGTCCTCGAGAATCCACAGCATTACGTCAGGTTGGTACCTGGATGTTCTGACTACTTCGGACATGGCCACGGTGAAGTTATCATGCAACCAGCGTACCGTTTCGACATCGCCCTTCCTTCCTGCCGATTCGATTGCGTATTGTGCGCCGTCGGACTGAGGTGAAATGCGGGTGCAAATCCACTTCGACACGCCCAAGTGTTTATTATCCATGGCACGAAGCAACTCGAGCCAGCCCCAAGAGCATCTACTTCGACAGTTCTCCCATAACCACTCCAACACGTGCAAATGGCCACTTTTGGCAGCTTCTTCCACCACCAACGACATAAACTCCTTCGGTAAATAACATTCAGCTAGCCAACGTACAGTCTTGAGGTCACCACGTGCTGCTGCCTCGCCGGCAACGTTGTTAAAGGTCCAGCGACGGAGGATTGGGTCAATCGTTGGAGATTCTCCAGCCGCCAGATACTGCAGCGATCGAAGACCACCATTGAAATCTTGATAAGCTTCGGATAATGAAACTGATCCCGACGCTTGACCCAGAAACCCGTCGATAATTTGTTGCAACCTTCCGTCTCCACTCAGCGGAAGGCAGTTGAGGCAGACGAGATCCACTACGGTTAGCGCTGGGAACGAGGGTAGCGCTGGGAATGAGGGCCATTCAGACGTGTCGAAACGATTGAACTGCGGATGCATCGTATGGTTGGTCTCAGCAGTCTATTGCGAATTCTTTCAATCACGAAGAAAAGGTCAGACAAGTCAATCCTCTGCAAATGCATTTTACAAATAAAACTTATAAGAAACGCTGTATTCTAGCATATAGAATATTGGAACGCTTCATCACTTTCATGTTCAAACCCTCAACCTCTCCCCCACAGCACAAACAATGGATAGCATCCGACAAGGTGCCAATGGTGTTGATACAGCCAGTCACGGAGGTGCCAGTCCCAGACACTGACTTGGAGCGTAGTGTGGCGTATCAAACCAGGCGAATGCTTGAACAACCATTCCACAACCTCGACTCGAGAAACCTTGATCACTGATATCTGCCCGTTCATTGGGCGCTTCGGCATGAGCAGCTCTAATATCTCCAAACAGGACGTCCTCTGATAAACCATGTCGAACGGCGGCATTGTCCTCCGACGATTGTGGTGTAGCCACTTGACCATCTGAAAGTCGTTCCTCACCACTGCTCCATCCATCGCTCGTTTAGTGCACCCTTCGCTGCGGTTCAAATGCAACCACCGGACCACATTCAGGTGCCCATTGGACGCTGCCGAATCCATTGCACGCGTAGTGCAGCCTTCGTCTCGGTTCGAGTGCAACCACTTGACCACGTCCAGGTGTCCACATCCTGCCGCTCGATCCATCGCTGCAGTAGTGCACACTGCGTTGCGGTTCTCATGAAGCCATTGCACTACATCCAAGTCGCCATTTGCCGCCGCTGTATCCATAGCTCCATCAAGGTTAAAATCTTCGCTTCGGTTAGCATCCAGCCACTGGATCATCTCCAAGTTGCCACGTTCGGCACAGCCTTTCATTGTATCTAGGCGGCAACCTTCCTTGCGGTTCTCATGTAGCCACTGGACCACGTCGAGGTGGCCGTTATAAGCTGCCCAATCCATTGCCAAAGCCGTACACCCTTCCGTGCGATTAAAGTGGAGCCACTTCACTACATCGAGATGACCATAACCGGCCGCTGCGTCCATGGCGTTGACTGTGCACCGAGCGTTAGTATTCTCGTGAAGCCACTGGACCGTCTCGAGTGACCCCGCCTCAGCAGCGCCGTCCAAACTCGATTTATTGCAGGAATCCTTATTTTGCCCGTGCAAATACACCACCACGTTCACGTGCCCATTATTGGCAGCTCGATGGAATCCGGTACAAATATCCCGGACATTTTTCTTTTTGACGAGCCATTTGACAACGCGTAAGCGGCCGCACTCGGCAGCCACGTTGAAAATCTCCATTAGGTCAGCCCCGCGTCTATTCACAAGCAGTTGCTTTAAGATGCCCAGCTTTCCTGCCTTGGCGAGGTAAAATCCAAGTCTGCCACAGTCTTGGCCAGAAATCTTGTCTTTATAGCTGTTGAAAATCCACGACACCAAGTTCCAATGACTACGCATCACGGCCAATCTGAAAGCTTCCACCACCTTCAGGTCGGACGTCTCGCACAACCACTTGACAGTCTCGAGATCACCAAATCTCGCAGCCTCGTCAAGTATCAACTGTGCACCCTGCGATCGAAAATCAATGCGATACCGAAGCCACTCTGCTATCCCATAGTGTTGTCGTTCCATGGCTGCGCTCAACTCGATCCATCCCCAACCGCATCTGTGGCGGTGGTTCTCCCAGAGCCACTTTAAAATGCGTAAATGACCAGCCGAAACAGCCTCTTGCACCACGGTTGAGATAAATTCAGTCGGCATGTAACTCTCAATCAGCCATTGCAGCGTCTGGAAGTCGTCGCGTGCTGCTACGTGGCCAGCAAGGTTGTTGAAGACCCAGCGACGGAGAATTGGGTCCATGGTCGGAGGTTCTTGAGCTGCCACATACCGCAGACACTGAAGATTACCGTTGAATTCTTGGTAGACTTCGAGTAATGTCGGAGTTTTGGACGTTTGGTCAAGGAATCCGTCAATTATTGGCTGCACACTTCTATCCCCGATGGGAAGGCACCTGAAGCAAACAAGCCTAACGAGCAACGACAGAGGCTGCATCTTGTGCTGCTGGAGGCTTTTTCCGAAGTGCTGTTGATTCGGTATCCTGCGTTCCAGTCAAATTGTCTTGTCCTTTCAATCACAAAAAGGACCAGGTTGCCTCGCGATGGCTATGATTCGATGCCCAACGCAAGCTCGAATCCTAAACGCAAAAGTTCGGATAAAGTTAGAGCTTAGAAAACACAGGAATGACATCACATACTAAGTATTAATACCTACACTATCGATCAGTCTGCCCAAGATGGGGTCGCCAAAAGCTATGAAATCAGCTGAGTCGACAAGTTACAAGTGCTTACTCCACAACACGCTATCTGTGTGGAAGTTTCTCGAGGGCAATCACGATCTTAATATCCATGATCGATAGCAACTTCTGTTTCGTAGGTCACTGCGACATTGCAGCAACAACTATTCCTCCAACATCAACGACAGTGGCGCACACAACAACTTCGAATTCGGTGATGCCTACCAATGCGCCCACGTCCTATGGGGGTACGATTTCCGGTCAAACTATCGCCTCAGCTTCATTCGTCGACTTGTAAATAATTGCACAGTAGGAAAGCTACGATACAAAAATACTTCGAACAAAGAGGAAAGTTAGAGAGCATCGCACAATTTATTTTGAAATAAGCACGCTTCTCTGATTGGTCGTTCCATTTTGGTCCCCCTTCCCCTATTTTAATCGTCCACCAGCCAGCTCCTTCACACCAACCAGAGCCGCAGCTCGGTCTCACTTCCATCCAGACCTCTCCGCCATGCTGGCCATGGCCCCACGCGCCGCGGAGCTGCCGTCGTCCGCCGCGTCTCCGGGCTTCAAACCCGCCGCCCAAGTGGTTAACACTAGCCTAACCGACGCGAACAAGCCCACCAATGGCGCGCTGCCCTTCAAGGCGCAATGCAAATCCGCCGTGGCGCTGGTGAACGAGCGGCGCATCGACTTCGTGCGCGCGCGCAACGTGCGCGTGATTGGCCGCCTGGAGGATACGCACAAGCAGAAGAAGGAGAAGAAGGAGGGCAAGCAACTCACGAGCGTCGAGGCGGTAGAGAGAGTGCTAACGTGGCAACACTCCAAGAAAATCGGCCCGGGCTTCGCCAACTTGGGCAACACTTGCTACCTCAACTCGGTGTTGCAGTGTCTCACGTACACGCCGTGCTTCGCCCAGTACCTGCTGGATAAGGAGGTGTTTGCGTCCTTCAACGGCGGAATGTTGCCGGCAAGTGGCAAAAACGGCAACAAGTTCGGCAAAAACGGGTTTAACACCTCCGGCGGCGGCAACGGGTTTTGCAGTGTGCGCGCCATGTCGCGTCTGTTGCAGTCCGTGCACGGCAACAACGCGGCCAAGGTGTTGCAGCCCAAGGAGCTGGTCATGAACGTGCGCCACATCTCCAAGAGCTTCCGCATCGGCCGGCAGGAGGATTCGCACGAGTTTTTCCGCCTGTTGCTGGACTCGATGCAGCGCTCGTGCCTGCGGAAGGCCAACATCAAGAGCGAAACGCACTCGGCCGCCTCCACCACGTTCGTGCACCGTATCTTCGGCGGCATGTTGAAGAATTACCTTAAATGCGCCAAGTGCGGGTACGTTTCCGAGCGGTTCGACGACTTTTTGGACCTGTCGCTCGAGATTGCCCATGGTGTTAACACTGTCAAAGGTGCACTTAACCACTTTACGGCAATCGAGACGCTGGACGATCGCAACGCCTGGAAATGCACGAGTTGCGGCAAACCCAGCCGCGCTGAGAAGGGACTCACCATTGCCGAGTGTCCCAACGTGCTCATGATCCAGCTAAAGAGGTTCGACCTCATGTTCGGCAAAATTAAGAGACACATCGAATTCCCTCGCATGCTGGACATTGCCTCGGGCATGAGCAAAAACTGCGAAGACCGTCGACGCGGCCGCACCAAGTACGAATTGCACGCGGTTTTAGTGCACGCCGGGTTTTCCACGGACTGTGGTCACTATTACGCGTTCGTCAAGGGCTCGTCGGGCCAGTGGTACGAGATGAACGACGACACCGTCAGGTGGGTGAGTATTGACATGGTGTTGCAGCAGAAGGCCTACATGCTGTTTTACTCGCGGGTGTTGCCTCTGTCCGAGCGTCCCAAGCCTAAAAATGAGGAGCAGGAGGTGAAGGCAAAAGCCAAGGAGTTGGTGGAAAAGGCCAAAAAGGAGGAGGTACCCGAAAAGGTTGCGACTGCTGTTGCTAAGCCGTTGCTGGCCAAGACGAAGGAGCTGGATATGAACGGGTTCCTTGCCAGTCTCAAGACGACGGTCACCTCTGGAGGTGATGGAGATAAGCCATTAGTAGTGGTGCCGGCAAAGACCGGCAAGCGCAGCAAGACGGTGGTGACGTTTAAGGTTACGACCAAGTCGAAGCCGGTGGCGAATGGGATGCCGGTTGTCGAAGCGCGCCACCGGATGAAGCGCGCATTAACGCCTAGCTTCGGTGGTCGCGTGGGCCGGCTGTACCGGTTTGGACCGGCATCGTACAAGTCGTACAAGTCTTGTCCGCGTCTCGTCATGACCCGGTCGGTGACGGAAGTGTCGGTGGAGTCTGCTGGCACTGAGCCGGCAGCTGCTAAGTCTGCGCCGGCGGAGAAGACCAACGGAGTCACCAAGGTGCCGTTCGACCCGCGGCAGCTGAAGAAAATCGGCGTGCGCAACGCGGCGTTGTTCGGCCGTGAGGTGGACAAGTGGGCAGGCGAGACGGACGTCGAATCCTCGGAGACCACGAGTGCCGGCAGTGACGCTGCCGACAATGCGCTGGCGGCCAAGCATGACCGCGTGCTGAACGCGCTCAAGCAGGAGGAGTGGAAGCACCGCAACGCCGGGCGCCAGGACTACTGGGACGAGACCCTGGACATGGGCAAGGTCAAGAAGGTGAAAAAGCGCAAGGAGTTCGTCCCGAACGAAGGCCGCAAGAACGCCTTCCAGACGGCGCTCGTGAAGAAGAAGAAAGAGGCCAAGCGCCAGCGCACGGCATGAGCCCTACCGGCAGTAGTCGCACTAGAGAAAACAGTGAGGAGAGATGTCTCGACCTCCGATTCATGCACATTACCAAAACCTTGTCCAAAACTGAAGTGCCCCAAAGTTGAAGTGTCGGTCAGTTTCGACTCGACTCGACGAGTCCGGCGTGGCAGATCTAGTGAGCCTATTGAAGGGGTGCCTCGTGCAGTCTCCGGTGCCTTTAACCATGGACAGTGACGAGCAACAAGCTGCCGCTGACGAGGAGCAGCAGCCTGAGGTGTTTTCTGATGAGCCAGCGACTTGCGACGAGGCCGAGGACCCTGCAACACCCGAAATGAACGACAAGACGAATGACTCTGGAGAGCCGTCGTCCGTGTCAGACATGGCCATGGCCGAGTTCCTGCGCGCGTCGTCCGAGCAGCTCGAAGGCAGCGAGTTCTCGCTGCTCATGGTGCTGCAGCCCGACAACGTGCGGCATCGCGTGACTGTGACGGCCGAGACGACGATCGGGATGCTGCGCAAGATGCTCTGCGCCGACCTGCAGCTCAACGCGGAGCTCGTGAGCTTCCCAGATCTTCGAGGACCACGTGAAGCGGACCAGAATGAAGACGAGTTGCCTCTCTCAGCGTACGGTTTGCCTAGTGGCAGTGCAGAGTGCACCCTCGAAGCGTACGTCGCGAGACCGCCCACAACGAGCGACTACGTCATGCCAGAGCGCATACACGTGCAGGTCTACAACGGCGAGTAGAGTTGAGGATGCTGCGGGTTAGTGGTGACTGTGAAGCTGACGTTGTCATTTCATGCTTTGATGCAGAGGAGACTGATAGCACGAGTATCATTACTGTGGAGATCGAGAAGTTCACAGGCCATAAGCCCTATCTCGGAGGCTTTAGACACCGCAAAACGCAGCAGCATTTCCATCACGCATCTACTCAGGTACGCGAAGAATCCTTGAGATCCTTATAGTTGGTTGGGAGGCTAACATCTCGTATATTATCAGACTATCCTATCGCGCGCAAGACGCAACATGGGGCCACCGCGATTCCACCGTGAGACGCAGACGCAGGAGCTTGTGACTCGTTCATTGCAGACGCACCGCGAGTCGGGCACGCAGATGTCTCGACGTGATCTCAAGCTGGACGAATCCTTCGACCGTCACGTCACTGCGCGGCCGTACTTCGACTCCTATCAGCTCGACAGTTTGCGTGAAGACTCGGTGCTGCTCATGCAGCGTCTGTGGCGCGGGTTTCGCGCGCGATTGTACGTCTTCAACATCCGCGAGCAGCGTCGTCGCGTGAGTAAACTGGCGGAGATCGAGGCACAGGAGAACGAAGCCGAAGACGTGAACCGCCAGCGGCGTGAAGTCAACCGACGGATGCATCCCAACACCGTCAGTGACTTTGAAGTGCTATATAACGAGCTGGACAAGTGGAGACAGGTGGAGTGTCGGAAGGTCCGAGAGCAGAGAGAACTGGATCCGACCGAGAGACAGCGCGCGCTTGATGCGATTTTGGCCAAGGAGACCAAGCTGCTGCAGACCATCGACCGCCTCAAGCTCACAGCCACCGACGCCAACCGCAAGCAGCGCATCGAAGCCATGTTGCAGTTCATGGCGCATCCCAAGCAGTGGCAGATGAGCGACGGCGGCATCAAGGAGGTGCACACGCCCTTCACTGTGCGGGCTAAAGAGCTCATGGATCTGTACCACGGACTGCGCACGCCCCTGAGCTCCGTCGATGAGCGCCTGGACATGCTGCTGCACATCAAGTGGACGGTGCAGGAGTTCGACTGCGCGCTCACCCGCGAGCTCGTGGAGCTCATCGATCGCGAGGCGGATATGCTGAGTCGTGGACGGAAGGAGAAGAGCCTCGAGGGACTACGCAAGAGGCTGACAAATCTGTTCCTGCAGTTCATCGAGACGCCAGAGTTCAATCCAGAAGCCGCCGCGCTCAAGCACGCCCGCGCTTAATCTACACAACTCGGAGATTTTTTTTATTCCACAGGTTAAATGTGTTCACCGTAGGATCGCGCTCACTACCAATGCTTTATTTGTGTTGGATTTTGTAAGAAGGAAGCACAGAAGACACTTCAGACAGTGCATGATGCGCTTTCCATCTTTCGTTCCAAGCTTGGTCGTCGCTGGGTAGTGCAGTTGAAGACCCCGGGATTGTCCACAACTGGTGCTTCAACAACAAGATCACCAACGCCAAAACATATCCAGAAAGGAGTCGATGTTTCGGAGTACTTTGTCATCCCCAACGACGGGAAGGCATTCGCGGCACAAGAGACGCACAGCCGTGAACACTGGGAAGTCAGGCCACTCACTTGTGTCCACACGGAAGATCCGCGCGTCGGCAGGAGGGGCCCGATAAGGCATTGGAGCTGGATCCATCTTGTGTGCTTGCTCAACTGTCGTCGGTTTGGCGTTTGCTGGCCCCAACCTTTTGTGCTTATTTTTGAGATTTTAGAGTTTGGGTCGTTGACGTTATCCGCAGCGTACAAGACTTCCGACGGCAGTCTGCGCTTGCTCCAGTACCTGGCTGCTCACGAATCCGAGACAAAGCCCATGTCTCTCCGCCGGTGGGTGCTAACGCTGTGGCTGGCCAAGCCGCGGCACGTGGAGATTTGAGGACATTGAAATGGATCGTGCAGAGTTATTTACCTGGTGAATTCCTGGTGAATGTTGTAGCTGAAGCTGCGGCTCACGGCCCATTGAGCGTATTGGAGTGGTTATGGGGAAACTATCGTGAGAATTGCTACTGGAGACGTTATGAATTTGTCCAGGCTGTACTTTTCAACGATCAGAGTGTCGGGGAGTGGCTATTGCACCGCGTTGTGATGCGCGATGGGGACGAGGTTTCAAAGGTTCTTAAGCTGGCATTATCGCTGAAGTGTGTGCAGTTGCTGTACCAAAAGTATCATCCTGATGTCGCGGAAGCCTTTCGTGACGCGTTGTTATACGGCCGCTGGGAAGTTGTGCGCTGGTTTATGGAGACCGTGACCGACGAAGAATACTTGGCCAATGCCCATCAATATAACGAGGCTTTCGAGAGCCCAGCGCGGTTCGGTGCTCTGGATTTACTCAAGGAATTGCATGATCGGGGCCTAGTGCGAGTGTCTAAACGCACGATTGAGATTGCCGCTGAGAACGGCCGTTTGAATGTCGTCAAGTGGCTTATTGAAGAGAAAGAAGTGGCAAGTATTGGCCGCGCGTTCCAGCGAGCTGCAGACGGCGGACACCTGGATGTACTAAAATATTTGCACGCAGAGAGAGAAGATTCTTGCCGCGACTCGAGTTTGAATGCAGCTGCTAGTACGGGGTCGCTCGAGACGGTCCAGTGGCTTCGGGAGAACACGCGAGCCCACTGTTCAGTCGTTGCCATGGATTGGGCTGCTATTGACGGGCACCTTGAGATGGTGCAATGACTGCACGCCAATTATCCCACGGAAGGGTGTACTATGTCAGCAAAGCGCATGGCTGCTGCACGCGGTCACCTTGATGTGCTAAAGTGGCTACATGAACATGGAGACGAGAGCGAATTCCATGCTTGTAGCCATGAACAAATCAATTTCCAGCGAGTGGTGGATACTGCTGCTGCGGACGGCTACTTTGATGTGGTGCAGTGGTTCCACGATAACTGCGACGTGAGTTGCACGGGTTCGGTCATTGATGGAGCCGCAAAGAACGGCTATCTTGACGTTGTCAAGTGGCTGCACGAGCACTGTCGAGAGGGGTGCACGACAAGAATGGGGTCACAAATGTGGGAGATGAATTCGGTCAAGCTGCTTCCCAAGCACATCTGGATGTGCTAAAGTATGGAATAGGGAGGATTGCCATTCTGTGAACTTAGATCATGCTGTTTGGCAGGGCTCTCTCGAGACGGTGCAGTGGCTTCATGAGAATACCGATGCTCACTGTCCGCCGCAACCTGTGGACATCTTGAAATAGTGGAATGGCTTCACAGCAACCGTAACGAAGGGTGCACCACTTTGGCAATGCATTGGGCAGCCTTGCATGGTTATATGGAGGTGGTCGAGTGGCTTCACGAGAACCGGAAAGAGGGCTGTCGACGAGATACCCTGAAAGATTGTGTCATTCGTGGTAAACTTGACATAGTCAAGTGGCTGTATACTAACAAAAGGGAAGTGTCAGACCTTGATGGAGTTATCGATCACGCTGCTGGATTCGGTCACTTGGAACTTGTGCGGTGGTTTCACGAAAACACCAACGAACGATGCACTAGAGCCGCGATGTGTAGAGCTGCTGGGAATGGGCATCTGAGTGTTGTAAAGTGGCTACACGAGCACCGGCGTGAAGGCTGTACAACAGATGCAATGGATACTGCAGCCATGCGCGGACACCTGGAAGTGGTGAAATGGCTACATGCGAATCGAGATGAAGGCTGCACTACCGAAGCTATGGATGGAGCAGTGAGGGGAAACCACTTGGGTCTTGTGAGGTGGCTGTGCCGCCATCGTTCAGAAGGGTGTACGACTTCTGCGATCAAAGTGGCTCTTCAAGGAACAATGTGCTTAGAGACCGCTGACTTGCTCTTCTCTAGGTTCCCAGAGTGCCGAGGATTCAGTTTGAGAGACCCGGTTACGATTTCGCGAGTTGAGCTTGTGGAGTGGCTGCGCGCGCATGCAACGCATTCGCTAAACGGACGAACTCTTCTTACCAGTCGCTGGAATTCGTACGTCTGGAGTGGCTTCAGCTGCATCAGTGGCGAGTTATCCGGCAGGATAATCGGGGCTTCTTGTGGGGGGAGTAGAGGTACAGCCCTAACATTAATTACTACAGCGGGATGACTCGGCGATTCTCCGGCCCCTTAGCTCTAACGTTCAAGTTTGCTTTTTGGAATGCAGTGAGTATTAGAAAATATTGTAGGTGTCCGCTGAACGATCGCAACTTCAACTTTGGCCATACAATTATCTGTATTATGTTGGTGCAAAGCCAGACGCCGACGATGTCGATGCTGCAGCTTGCCATGGGGATGCCTCCAGAGTTGGTGCTATGGCTCTCGGGCTATCTTCTTGCCAAACGCTATGTATTATGCAACTCCTGAGGACTAGAACATTGTGCTGTGCTCATCCTGGAACTTCCAGGGCCCTGTTGACACACGGTATACGCCATAGCTCGCATGCCAAAGCAGCCCAGCGTGGGCCTCGCTCCAATTAGAAGACCAACACACGCCTGCCGAGCGTAGTCTTGCATATCATGTACACCAAAGCTACATCTCAGTTGGGTCTGGGATCCGATAGCCCAGCATCGTAGGGCGGTCGATGTGCAGAGGTGGCTACCGGTTGCGACAGATGCAACCAGCCCTCGCTCAATGATATGATATCACTGCAATACTTCGACGAACACCAATATGAACGCGGTCTACAGTACAACAGTAAAAGTTCAACTTTTGCAGTACTCACTCGCTGCAGTGGGAAATGAACGGATACATCCAAGTATGTACACCTTGCGCTGCTCTATACAGAACGGAAAGCAAACACTGTAATTGATTTTTTGTATGACGGAACTACACTAAACGAGTCGACAGTGTTCACAAAAACTAACCAAACGCAAGCAGCGGAAGCAGTCAGTGAGTCAGTGAATGAATGAATGAGTGTACCGGCATCAACCGATTCATTCCGAACGTAGCTGGCGGTACGCCTTCTGGGACGTAGCATCAGTGCCGGCCTCGGTCGCGCCGCCGGCAGTGCCGGTCTTGGTCGTGCCGGTGGTCGTGCTGGTGCCCGTGCCGGTTCCTGCCGTCTTGGTTGTGCCGGTGGTCGTGGCGCTGGTTGTAGCACTGGCTGTAGCGCTAGCACTAGCACCCGTTTTGGCGCTCGTGCCGCCGGTGGTTGTGGTAGTAATAGTAGCTGCAGTGCTGGCAGCTCCTCCCATACTTGCGCCGGATTTGCCACCAACGTTAGCGGTTCCGCCCACGCCGGCACTGGCACTGGTGCCTCCATTGCCAGCGGCAGCTCCGCCGACAGTACCTCCATTGCCGGTCACGCCGACACCGGCACCGACACTGGCACTCGTGCCTGCTTTACCGCCAACGCCAACGCCGACGCCGGCAGTGCCTCCAACGCTCGCGCCAGCGTTGAGCCCCGCGGTGATGAGTCCAAACGTCTGGGCGACCTCTTGCTCGGCGTGCGCGTTGCCCATGAGAGCCACGATGGCGAAGCACAGGGCGATGATCTTGGTGCTGTTGAACATGGTTGAGTTGTTGGGTTGATGGAGGTCGTGGAATGCACGGAACGGAGGGTCGCTTGTTGGTGCTGGTGAGTGAGTGAGTGAGTGAGCCCTAGTGAGGAGAATCGGTAATGCCTATGGTGAAGCCCGACTTGGCGGGCATGACACGAGCACCCTCTTGACTTGGAGCAACCGATGAAGCCAAAAAGATCGGCACTGCACGAGCCTGCTGCCAGCCTCGACCGTCAGGATGACCAGCTTTGCGATGGATACCGAAGTTGCTGTGCCTCTTCGCCCTCCATACGAGCGCTCGTCAAAGCACAATGAGTCCATCTGCAGGGTGGTTCGGACTGTTGTTTGGTTGCTAGTAAACAATAAGCGCGGATGTCTGCAAGATGTTGATGCAGTCAGCACCGCCGACAGGTGGCTGGCCCCAGGTGTCCGCTGAACGATCGCAACTTCAACTTTGGCCATACATTTATCAGTATTATGTTGGTGCAAGGCCGACACCGACGATGTCGATGCGATGATACAGTTTGCAATGGGGTGGTAAGAATGCCTTCAGCGCTGGTGCTATGGCCCTCGGGCTATCTTCTTGCCAAACGCTACGTATTATGCTCCAACTCTTGAGGACAATAACTTATTGTTCATCCTGTTCCAGGCCCCTGGTGACGCTCAGCCCCCACGGGGGATACGCGATAGACTAGGCCAGATCGCCTGCCGAATCAGCGGGGGTATCGCTTCCATCATGGACGGTAAATCTGCGGGACGGCTCGACCAGATTCTACATACATGTTTGTACTAAATTTCAGAGTTTCGTCGTGCAGTGCGCGACTTTGTTTAGTAAGGAGATAACATAGTGGTTCCAGAAAATGAATATGTTTTTCGGGACTGTTATGTTTTGGAATCCTGCATACTAATACAACGTAGTAAGTAGTAGCATAAGTATCGTGCACGCTTACCAGTTGTACATCGTATTGAACCCGTTGGGGTGAGTCTTGTCCAGGTAGGTACTGTATGCAACCCGCGCTTGCCTTTGGGGAGTCGAGATATCGAGCTTTCTCCAAGCGTCAGCATTGTACCCGAGAATTTTTTCGGGCACAGCGCCAGGCCTGATACCCCTGTTAAACCACAGCTCGTAGAGCGTGTTCTGCAACCTCGTAGCAGTCTTCTTGGTCCCCTTAACTGTTGTTGCCGTTTGGAGCAACACCGCGAGGTTCGCCTCGCCCCCAAATTGCTCCCGAAGTTTTACGATAACTGCGATCTTTGGGCTTGCCTTGGACATGGCGACATATTTCATCCAAACCTTGAAATCAGGGTTGCTGAGGAGCTTGTCCCAGGCATCATCGAGCTTGAGGAACTTAAATGCTTCGTCAGTGCTTCGGCCGCTCTTCACTAAGTCTTCCAGCTTCTTTTGGCTCGAAGACTTGAAAAAAGTCGCAATGCTCTCCACACCAGGGATGGCTCTTGCCTCATCAAACGTAGCGGCGCTGGTACCCGTTCGTAGGAGTCTAGTCGCCGCGAGGGAGGAAAATTCAGGCGTCGTGGAGTCTACCCCGTCGATGGCAGTTGCCAAGATAACAGCAACCGCCAGAAGCACAGCGAAGTGGAGCTGCATGATCACTTTCAGGGCGGTGGGGCTGTGCGGGATGGGGCGCGAATTGGAAAGTGATGAGAAATTGGCTCAGATAAAGGTTCAGTTGATTAGTAAGCTTTTAAATTTGAACTTCCAGTACTGTACACTTGATGGGCGGGATACGTACGGAGTTTAATGTATCTAGGCTCGATAGTATCTAGTCGATACCACTGGTTCACACAGAGGTTTTCCGGCGAACAGCCGGGAGCTGCTTCAGGAGCTGTTCAGGATTTGAAGGCAGTTTCTGATTGTTTAATGTATGCACTGCGTACGGTATATTGACGAGACCTCGGTATGATCAGCAAATGAAAAAAAAGAGCGTAGTTGCAGGTTCTGTACCTCAATGGCCCGGTTATGTGCTTCCCACTCAGTGGCTCTTCAGCAAACGCTTGGAACCTGAAACCCGGAAGATAGTTCGCGGTTCCAGGGAAAATTGACTTCAGCATGCTCATTTTTTACCTGGAACCGCGAAAAATGTTCCAAGATTACCTCGTTTTAGTGGCAAAGTTTCAGGCAGCCCTGAAGCTTGGAACTTTTTAATCGAATAGAAGGTCGTGTGGGCCACACCACCAAGGATGGCGGAGCCTGTGCATGCAGCGGAGAGAGCTCAGCTCGACTGAGGGCGCGCTCTACTGCAATAACACCACCACGAACTCTGCGTGCGCGCACAGGGACTTAAGCACCCGCGTGCCATCGAGAGCTCTCGAGCACGGCCACCACACGCCCCTCCCGCCGCCGCGTGATCTCTCGCGTACATGCCGTCGTGCGCACGCGATCAGGCAGCCCGCCACGTGCGCTGCTTGGCGCTGCTTGGCGTAGGCAATCCTTACTTGGCAGTGACCACTAGGCAGTGGGAACGTCTCTCTCCCTCTCTCCTCTCTCGCTGCTGGCGTTCATGCCGCACGCCAGCGCTCGCGTGGCCAACGAATGCGTGGGAAAGTGGAAAAAAATGAGGGAGGGCACTGCAAAATTTTATGTACAGAATGAATGTTGTAAAAGTGTGCGGTTCCAGGTGAATTTACCTGAAGTGCCTCGAAAAACTGCATCTTGGAACTTTTTTTCCAGGTTCAGGTTCCAAATTTGCTGAAGAGGGCCAGTGCCTTTATCAACGCTCTTTTTTTTTCATTTGCTGATCATACCGAGGTCTCGTTAATATACCGTACGCAGTGCATACATTCATTAAACAATCAGAAACTGCCTTCAAATCCTGAACAGCTCCTGGAGCAGCTCCCGGCTGTTCGCCGGAAAACCTCTGTGTGAACCAGTGGTATCGAGCCTAGATAGTACAGATACCACCCAGAAACTGCAAAATGTAAAAATTGATACCCTTGTGGAATCATGATATCAAGGGACATCATCGCAGGAGGGAGCGCCCGTACCGCCACTGTGTTGTCTACACATTCCATTTTCATTTGAATCATCCAGCCAAAAGCATGGCGCACTTTTTCCACAGACAAACTCAAGGCAGCACTGAGCACAGTACGCCCACCTCCAGAAGCGTTCTAAGGGCACCCAGAAGCGTACCAAGGGTGTGTGGCTAGCCATCCAGCAAAGGTGCGATGTTATTACGGAGTATCACCCTCTCTCTTAGAAGTAAAAATGAAGTTTGAGGAAATAGTGGTAGTAACGCACCTCAATCACTTATCTCCTCAGATTATATAATTTCCTGTAGGAACTCGGATGTACCACTCTTTGCAGTTTAGTAGAAACATTAAACTCCGTACGTATCCCGCCCATCAAGTGTACTGGAAGTTCAAATTTATAAGCTTACTAATCATCTGAACCTTTATCTGAGCCAATTTCTCATCACTTTCCAATTCGCGCCCCATCCCGCACAGCCCCACCGTACCTAATGGCACTGAGTAAGGTGATTACTGAATTATTAATATTATTATTAGGTACTTAGCTACAGCAAACTGTTGGGGCCGCGTCGAACAAGATGACGCTTACGAACCATTTGGAGTTTCCCCTTCGAGATAATCGATGCGAGTTATAAGTTGACAAATCAGATTTCGGACATGATCGGAAAATTGAAAGTGAAAGTCACTTGTAGAAAGCCTTACACGTTAATTTAACTACATTTGTTATGAGCTTTCCGATTATGTATAATAAGCAAAAATTGACAAAGTAGTGCCAAGGTGATACGTCCCAGAGAAAACCCTGGATTTCGGGATCGAAAAAGAAGACACACTTGATGGGCGGGATACGTACGGAGTTTAACTCTAGTACAGGTGGCCACTAGCAAACACTTTCATGCACATAAGTTGGGCAGAATGATCCGGCTAGAAGCACAATAAAAGTGCGCAATAAGTACAAGAGACGTTCATCGTTGACAATAATCTGACCAATGGTCAGTTTATTTCACACGGCACAATAATCTGACCAAAAGACAGTAAGTAAATAAATTCTAACCAGTTCGACTGCGTTTGTCGAGCGCCTTAGCGGCATTAAATCAGCTTTGGCCATCAGTCGAGGTCAGCTAGACACAAGGCGTTGATGCTTGAGCGGAAGCATACCTGCTCGCACCCCGCTGAAAAGGAAGAGTAAAAAAACGATATAGTAAGTTCCTCAGGGATTTCTAGATGGCTTAAATCGGACCCTGCTCGCATTTCTCTAAGCGAATAAGTTAAGCTGGGCGTTCTGGAGTCGCTGGGCGTTCTGGGGTCGTGCTTGACCAGTATTCCAACGAAGAAGAATATAAATTCTATTAACGATAGTAGTTCTATACCCAAACTCTGAGTATTTATTTATTATTAAATATGTGAGTAGTTACGATATTTTTGCGTTTCGAACAACACACTGCTGCTACTGAGTGCTGGTATCCCTTCCCACACGTACCCGAGGGAGGAGAGCGGCTACAATATCGCGTAACCTATGGAACGTCTGGCAAACACATTTTACTCATAACTTCTTGAAATATATACGAATGTTTATTCTTACCTTGCGACCACAACTGTGTATATCAGTCGTGCATATCGTACTCCTAGTTTTCAATTACATGTACGGCACCTTGCAGTATCACAGCTGATACTACAAGGCATTGTATGCGCGCGGTTAGTACACTCTCGTTACATGTTGCCGCGGTTAACGTGTTGATTATAGCACTAGCCGAGCGCCGCCGCTACGCGGCGGGGAATTTTTGGTTGCTTAGCGCTTCGCTCGCTATGCTCGCTCCGCTATTGAAACAGGCTGCCTACGCTTAGCTACGGCAGTAGTGGACCCGTTCTGCTCGCCTTGTCGGCTCGCTGCACTACTTTTAGGAAGCCTCCCAGTCGCCGTCCTAGGTTAATAATGCAGGTTAGTGCGGGCCCTATTGGGGGCCCGCAACGCACTATGAGGTGACCGGCTGGGGGCTGCCTTCGCTGCGCTCGGCAGCTACTCGTACTTGGTGGAATTCTTACTTAGTGAATAAGCGTGACGATTTTGATTCGGACGGACGGACAGCGCCTTGCTCCAATTGATTTTTAGGGCTAGCCGAGCGCCGCCGCTACGCGGCGGAAGGTTTTGTGGTTAGTCGCAGTAGTAAGGGCCGCCCACCTCCGCTTTGCTCCGGTGGGCTTTTTTAAAGTTCAAATGGTATTCATTTCGATTGTGTACATGTAAAATTGTTTATAGGTTTGAAGTACTATCAGTAGATGGTAATAGCTATTCCAACGTCAGTGAACTATGAGTAGATGCATGTTGCAGGGTAAAACATTCTCTATTGTACGGTCCTGTGCTCCCGTCGCAACTGTTTAACCCGAATTACAAAGTATCCGCACAGTACATATCTCACAATCTGCGTTTACTGTGAGTTTAGTAGAAATGAACATGAGCAATATGCCAGGGTAGGGTAGATCGATCTGGTGTTGGTATCTTATGTAAGTCAAAATATGTCTTACGTGTTGTTTATTCAGTTTATCATCCCACCGTAGCTCTCTGTTTTTAGTTCGTAGGCTATAATACCTTCATTCTACACTGGACTATAAGCCCCAGCAACAATCAAAGTATGGGCTTCGCTCTTCCTCTGCCTAGCATTACATTAAGTGCTTGTGATCTTATATAAATACCGAGTATACATCATCGTTTTAGTATTTTGTGTGTTCCGCCAAAACGTAGCTGCGGGCTGCGCTAACTACTGCGTGGTCTACTTCAAAATTCATTGTTTTAGACGTGGCTATGGTTTATTATTCTACTACGCGGCGAACATTACCATTTTAGTGTACCACCTGCATTACAGTAGGTAAGATAATATCTTACCTCTATATTATAGAGTTCGGACTCGTAACTATATAGTTATAAAGTCACGTTTGCCCTTTGTTAATTCGGTTTCCTGCGTGTATATCCGCCCCATAACACGGTTAGAAAAGGAATCCCAGCGTAAGCTATAATAAAAGGCTTCCACTCAGTGAATATTATCTACTACCCCACTAACGCATCCTCCTAACGCTACACATTGTACATTAAAGATATACGAAACGCGTTTAAGCAAGTGTAGCTAAATATCCCCCCAAGATGAGCGCAGAGCGCCGCTGTAGCTATAATGTATCCATCCCTAAAGTATTACAGTAAACGTATGCTGCTCATGTTAGTAATAGGGGTAGTCAATGCCTGCAGCAGCAACTATTTTTTTTTCTCACTCAGACACGACAAATGTTTTTTTACCAATCACAAGCTGAATGCGTTGACCACCCCATTCACTGTCCGCAGCAACAGATCAAGATTTTCCGTCCCCCCTCGGCTTCAAACGCCCCAGCCTACGCGCTTGTCCTCTGGGATGCTGGGAAGCGTACGCTGGAATGCCCGGAGCGCCAGCAAGAGGAAGGTGGTGGCCTCTGCCTCCTTCAGGTTGAGTGTGAGAAGGCAACAGCGTGTTCATCCTACTGCAATCGGCGTGGTAGGTGTTGATCTTAGCATGAAACTCCAGTCGGCGTCTATCCGAGTTGTAGAGTTGCTGAGGTCGCGCGTGAGCACGAAGGAGGCCCACCTGTTGTTGATGGTCAAGGTGAGGAGACTGAGCGTGTTGAGTTTTGTTGGGGGAGGCGCTTGTTGCTCGGCCTGCCGATGCGAAAGTAGGGCTATGTTAGCGGAGCGAACTGCCGTCCGCTCACTACTCTCAGCGCCTTCCAACACGCAGCGATTAGTGGATGCAGCTTTAGACACAGTCCTAGGCTGCTTGCTAAGGAAGACTCGAGTGTAGTATAGATACATAGCTCGTGGAAGGGCTCGTGTTCTCTCCGTCCCTCGACATACACTGTGCATTATTACATGATCGCGCTGGAGCAACGCTTGCTGGACACCAAGGCATCCGACTGACACAAGTAGGCTTACTAGATTGACCTTCCGAGTACTCTGCTCGCAGCGCAAGCCCCAAGGGCGGAGTCTTCTCTCGCGCGACGACCATGCTACCGTACCGTTGATGCTCAGATCTTGGCGCCAGAAAAAAAAACGAGCTGCTGCTGCGGCTCGACCGGAACGACTTTTTGTTCCGGTCGCCGATTTTTTTCCTGGCCAATCACAGCCCCGGAAAAAATCCGACTTGCTGCGGCGGAAAAAAGTGAGCTGTTGCTACGGACATTGACTACCCCTAATAATCTCGTGCACGCCTTCCGCTACGTTTACTCGCACTGCGATCACTTACAACGTTGATGCTATCGCTTACTACGTGCTGCTACCACGTCCATATCGCTTTCTACGTGCTGCTAGCGCTTAAATATGCCGTCCTATCGCTGCCTACGTGCTGCTATAACTATCTACCGAATTTGTTTTGTAGAGGGATACACCCACGTATAGGATACAGGATAGTATTAGCCAATCACAATTGTGTCTTCAGATTGACAGGGCTTGACTTGTTGAGGGATACACCAGTTTCAAGCCAGTAATTTTTGCACTCTCGGCCGCTCAGCGCGCGATCATTTCTGCAACGGCGCGGGCGCCACCAAGTCACCCTCGCCTGTCTGGAGGTCAAGGCAGGTGGAAAACGACGCGGGCCCTACCATTTTACACAGCTGCAATGAAGAAGGCTATGGTCGAGCACCTGAGACTACACTGCAATGTTTGTTTCGCTGAAGATACGTTCTTTCCGGGTCCACCTACAGAAAAGTATCAAGGGGGAAGAGTGGTGGTGGGGGTGCTTCTGTCGGCGGCAGGAACAAACTCAAAGCTTGCTCTATTGAACTTCGATCTCAAGTTGGGGTGGTGGTGGCGAACAAGCTAATAAGTTGGGCTGTGTCGGCAGCCGCATTGGTGAGATTCGGCCTTGAGAGACTTGAGGTAGAGTGCTCAGTTTAGTAATTTTGATAAATACATCTGGGCGTCTGGTGCCGATTCGTTTTTTGAGCAAAATCGGGCGTCTGGTATTTTTTAGCTCCGGTAGGGTGTATCCCTCTACAAAACAAATTCGGTATACGCTTCTATAGCTTACTATGTGTTTGTATTGAGCCAACATTGCTATTTTACTACAGTAAGTAGCATGGCAGGTCCACCTATTGCTACAGTAGCTAAGGGATTGAAAGTAAGAAGTTCTTACCCCGTAACTATGAGTTGCGCTATGCTAATTCCGTTCCCTGCATGTATATCGGTCCAATAACATGGTTAGAGAAGGAAGTTCTACTATAATAAAAAGCTCCAGCTCAGCCGAACACCATGCTGTGCACCACACCGTGCACACTACGGTCACACTGCTTGCCGCTATCGTCGAACTGGTGCTCCTCCCGACCCAAGAGCACGGGTTGCCTACAGGCCATCCCCGACCAGAAGATCGTCCGCGATCTTCCCATCGTCAAGCAGGTCTTCGAACTCCTTGGCCGACAGCCACTCCTTCGCCGTAGGTCCCCCAGGCCGAACTCCGAACTCGACCTGATACTGCTCCTCGTATCTGCCTGCTCTGTTCCGCACTTTTCGTCGTCCACACTCCCGGACCATGCCTGGTCCTGCGGTGTCCAACAGGTCGTGCATAGGGCGCGCCCATCGCGCTAGCCCTCGCCCTCGCAGTGCGCGCAGCGCCACCTCCAGCATCACCACCGCCGGGATCAATACGCGCACCATCTCGTGCTGCCTGCTCACCGTCGGTTCCTCCGCCTGGGGCTTGGTCGTCACTGCGTCCCTCTTCGAGCCTGTCGTGCGCTGCCTCGTTGGTGTTGCCAGCGCGTGATCCTCTTGTCGGTTCGTGCACTGTGGGGTTGCGTAGCGCTTGAAACCCCACGATCCGCGTCTGCACCCGCTTCCTCGGCGTCTGTCGCCGCTTGTCCGTCACGACGAGTGCTCCGCCGAGCTGCCCGGGCTTCACGGGCCTCGGCTTCGACCCGTCGATTTTTTTTGCTGCTCTTCGACACCACCCGTGCTCCGCTGTGCGCTCGCTTTCCGCTTGCGAGTCGCCTTCTGCTCGCTCACGCCTCTCTGACTGTGATCGCCTCCCACTGTACCACCAGCAGCGGCTCTCATATTACGGGGCTCCGTTGCAGCGCCCGCTATTCCTGGTTGTCTCGATTCTGGACCTGATCCTGGCGTTGGCGTGCCAGTCCCCGAAGCTGTACGCCGTTCTTGTCTAGCGCCACCCATCTCACTCGCTCACTGGCCCACTTGCCGCTGCTGTTTGCACTTCAGATGCTCTCCGTCCTTGTGCTGCACCTTGCTCATGCCCGACGGTGCGAAGCAGAGTCGAGACGCTGCAGCGCATGGCTCCGCGACGAGCTGTCGGCCGCAGACGCGCGTAAAACGCGATCGCCTGCTGAATGGATCGAGGGCGCCACGAGTCCCCACAGTTGGCCGTGCGGTTGCACAGCGTCTGCGCCGCTCGGAAGTGTTCGTGCGCAGTTTCCAGGTCCTCTTGCTAAACGAAGTGCTCACTCATCTCGTACTCGGCCATCGCTTCCATGTGAACGTCGTTCAGAGCTCGACAGCGTATTAGTAGCTGGTCAAGATCAGCGTGCGCAATCTCGGGCTCTTCCATGAGCCGAAGCGTTTTAGCCACATGCAGACGAGCTCGAAGCTCGTACTCATGGTCCCCGACGTGAAGAGCGCCTTGGAGAGCATCTCGGAATGTCTTCAAGGCCTCATTTTGACCTGAGCTTCGCTGCAGCAAAGCTGTTGCGAAGGCTTCAGCGCACTGCAACTCCAGCCGTGACCAAGCAGCAGGGTCAGTTCCGCTCTCACGGAGAATTTTTGCCAGGTCGAAGCCCATTTCGGCGTATGCCAAGCTGTGCCCCATGGCAGTGCATCGCCTCCAGCTCCCCGATGCTTGAAGCAAACGTGCTAGCATCACAAGCACATCGTTTGACAAGTCAGTAAGTGGCGATGTAGAAGGCGACGACGACGCGAGGCGAACGATTGGAGCCCACGTGCACACAATCCACTTCCTTGCCGTGCGATTCTGGACCAGCGTCTGCGGCGATGACGAAGCCGTTTGAGTGAGCTTCTCTAGAGTTCTGGCGGCTGCGTCGTCCCTCATGTCGAGTCCAAGCACTGAGCACGCGACGCTGCTTTGGAGCAATAACGCTAGCGCAGCAAATGCAGCCTGAAGTGCCGCGTCCAGTTGACGCACCTCGTTAGGCTGCGCGCAGCGGTGGTGAACGTTTTGGTGCATGAGTCGCTCGAGCTTTTCCAGTCAGGGAGAATTGGCAGCTTCTTCGAGTGTTTGAAAGTGCGGCGCCACATGATGCCAGAACGAGCTCTGCTCCGCTGGGGTTTCAACTGACAGCAATGGAGCCACTGCAGACGCCTTCGTAACACGCTGCTCAGGTTGGTCGTTGTTGTTCCCGTCTTCCTCCTGTTCAACATCAGCAGCGCCGGCGATACTGACACTATTTGATGTCGGAAAAGCCGCCGAGGTGAGGCGCAGCTTGGGCAAGAGCTCTGCAGTGTCAGCGCGAGCTTCCACGTCCAGTTGCTCAGCCAAACTCGTGATCGCATAGCTTCCCGGTAGTGCTGTTGCCGCCAGTGCTGCAAATGCGCGAGCGTGTGCAAGCTCCCCCACGCTACGCGAGCAATTCGCCGACAGCAAATGAGCTTCAGCGATCGTTGCATTGTTTGAGGAAAGTGCCGCTGCAGCCTGAGCGTCTTGAAGCGCTTGCCTAACAGCCTCCAGCATCGGTGCTGGCTGGTTCGCCTCATCGCGGACAGAGCTCGACGACGGACCGGAGGCTAGAATATCAAGGGGCACCGTCGTGGTGACGTCGTAGTCGACAAAAGCCAACAGTGCTGCTGCGCGGCGGCAGTACAGAGTGGCTAGGCTCTCTGTCTCGGCATTCGCTGCTGCCACACCATCATCGTCGTCGTGATTGTTGCTTGCAGTGCTCAGTGTTGCAGCCTGGAGCTGCTGTGTGAGTTGCTGCAGTAAGTGGAGGTCGGCAAGCAGCGTCGGCTGCTTCACAGGCAGCAAAAGGTGCGGTTCCTCCTCCTTGGCTTTGCTTGAAGTCGACGCGGCTTCCTCCTGCGGGTTGTCAAGGCCGTCCTTTTGCTTGAAAAGGATCTCGAAGATGGACGGGTCCGTCACAGTAGCTGCGCGAATCGATGCCGACATTTTGTAGCTGTTCGAGCTGGTGGTTGAGCAGGAATTTGCAATATGGAGACAAAGCGATGGGGCTCTTGCGGCATGAGAAGGATGCAAGCAGCAAGGGATCATGCTCGCAGCAATAAATAGACGTCATGGGATGAAACACTGCTGGAAGGCACACTGATGCGAATGGGAAGCTGTTGTCTAAAGAAAGCCACACCTCGGGTGCAAACCCGAGCGCACTACACCAAAAATTGAAGAATGGGATAGCCCGCCGCCAGGCTATCTACACTCCAGTCTCAGTTAGTCCTGTCAACCTTACCTTACTCACCTTCAACCTCTCGCGGGTTAAGGTAAGGTTGGTCTCACCTCACCAACCTCGCTAACCTCCCACATACAAAACTCCATATAAAAAATTATATGAGCTTACACGAACACACAAACGCCTGGACACCAACACCCGTGAACACCAAGACGTCGACGTGCACGTGAACGCCGACGCGCTCGTTGCTGCCGACTCGCTGTAGAAAGCCGATGTGCTCGAGGACGTCGCGATGCTCAAGGACGTCGACCTGCTGACGGACGCCGAAGTGCTCGAGAAGGCGACACGCTCGTGGACGCCAACGCGCTCGTGGACATCGAGATGGTCAAGGACGTGGACGTGCTGAAGGACGCGGAAGCGCTCGAGGACGCCGAAGTGCTCGAGAACGCCGACACGATCGTGGACGCCAACGCGCTCGTGGACGTCGAGATGCTCAAGGACGCCGACGCGCTCGTGATGAACTTGATGAACGTAATAAAGCCTTTGTCTTCAACCAAGAGAAGCGGGCGAAAATGGGCTGCTATCCAACGCGCAAGAAGCACGTACACCTCCTTCTGCTGCTCGGGGCTAACTTCACGAAGCTGTCGGGATTGAGCTTCGGGCTGCGGCTCAAGGCTATTCTCATCCGCATCGTCCTCTTTGCCGTAATTTGCGAGCGCTGCTGCGTGGTAGTTGCTCATGTGCCTCTCAACACCGCTGTTTCCCTTGCCGAATCGAACCGTTCGTTTGCACCTTGTGCAATATGCATACGCAGTGTGCTCGTTCTTCAGGTTTTTATCATCGATATTCCAGAACCGGCCAGTGTTCAGGCTTTCGAATTTTAATTTACTCATGCCAACCTGTTTGTGAGGCGGTACTGCCATTACCGTTTCGTAGACTGGGGTCTGCCATAGTGGTGGAGGAGCTGTTAGCGTCGTAGCAGTCGAATTACCGCTAGCACCGACGTCCACCGCTCGTTGCGCAGGCGTCATGGCGACCAAAGTACCTCTATCACCGCCGTCCGAAGCTTGTTGCGCAGGCGTTGCGTCAACCCTGGGTACCGAGCGCTGCTGGACCTCTTGAACCTGCGACTCACTGGCGGCATCCGAATCGGAAGAGAACACGGTGTCTAACCTTCGGCTTCTCTTTGTTTGGCGCGTGTCGGTAGAAACAGCTCAGCGAAAATCACATCCTGTAGCGTTCCAACTCTCACGGGCGATAGTGTGTGGACTGCGATTTTGAGGGACAGATGCCATCGGCGTGTGCGAGGCGCTATTCAGCACTTCGTCAGGGGGGCGGTGCTCGTTCACCGCGCAAATTCGGCTGTAGAGATCGCTCCTGGTGACCAGTTCTGGATTAGACGTCCGAGCGAGGTCTGCGAGCCAGCTTAACCCCTCTAATCCCGTATTCTGTATCCTACAGAATAAGCATTGTCACAGGACATAATATCTAGCAAACTTGTCCTCTCTTTCGAACTTCGCATATGGATGTTTGTATAGCCGGTATTGTGCACATCTTCCTGTTAGATTAGCGATGGGAAAATAGACGGGGTTTATTCCGCGGTAATAGACGGACGAGTATAAACCACCAACAGGTTTGAAAATTCGGGTGGAAGCCTAAAACCGCCGCGTGTCAGCCACTCGTACTTTCCTTCATTCCGAAACTGCGCTGTTCAAGACGTCGCAATGCAAGCTTTGTTGGGGCCCGTCGAGCGCGCCCAAGTGGCTAAGGACCATGGCCGAAGACGATCATGATGAGCGCCATTGTGATCTAAAGGCAAGCGAGAGCGTGTACTTTGCTCTGTAACATTGTACTAGTGGTATATTGATTCTACGTTGCGATGTTGATTACCAGACCTGGTGATCCGACCCAGACGACGCTATGAGCTCTCGCGTGTGGCCCGATTGGCAGATCGATTGCGGAGTCAGCGCACAACCTCATCGGTTCCTACGAAGCCGGCTACAGCCGGGTCTACCGCTATATTGTAGCTGATGCAGTGGCTACTCAAGAGGCTACAGAAGAAGCGCTCCTCATGGTGTGGCTACACCGGAGACTACAGAAGAAGCGGTAGATGCTACGACGGAGGCTACCGATGAAAGCGGCAGGAATGAAGCGGCAGTGCCGGAGGCTACAGAGCAAGGCGGAGGCTGCCAAAACGGCGAAGATGACCCACGGCTGGCACGAACATTGAAGAGCGTGCGCATGTAAAGGAAGAAGTAGACGTTGGCATGAATATCATATATTGTCCTGTTTCGTACAAGAGGAACCGTGTGTAGTGCGTGTCATTACGGGCTATTGAGCATGCAAGCTCCCTGGTGTTGTTAGAGAGACAATCGTAACAAGCTTGTTAGGTGGGCTAAAGAAATCTAATGATGCGCTAATGTCAAGCACAAGGAAGAATTCGCCCAGTTCCTCCTCACTACGTCAGTTAGGAACTGGGCGATTTCTTCCTCCGCGTTTATCGCGACGTGCCGAAGATGGGTGGCTGGAGCCGAAGTATGCTGCCTTAGCAGCCTTGCAAGGTATTACCATGTAGCAGGTTTTGAGCGTGCTCTACGCTCGGCACGACCAATAGAAGCTCGCCATTTCGGCATATGGTGGATACATTGAGCATGTTTTGTTCACTTTCGTAGCTGTTCTGTGCACAATGTACCCAGCGCTTGACCGCAAGATGCGAAAGGGCTTCCAACAGCTAATCTTTGACAGGTTTTGAAGTATACTGTAATCAAGTCTAATGCTTATTCGGTAGGATACAGAATAAGGTTTGGGGCTAGAAGGGTTAAAGTGCATGAACGCCGCGTACTGCGTACAGTACGCGGCACCTTTAAAGATGGGCTATTTATGCAAAGCATGATAGTTACGCAGGTTAGGCCGAGAGTCGGGGAAGTTGGGAGGTCTGAAGGTGGGTTGAGGTTACGGAGGTAAAGGTAAGGTTTGGGAAGCTAAGGTTGACAGGACTAACACCCACACCAAGTCGCCGACTTTGAAATGCGCGTCCCGCCGCACGCGTAGGTTGTAATACTTCTCGCGTCGCCTCTGATCCCGCTGCAAAGCCACCTTGGCTATCGCAGCCGCTCGCTCCATCTGCCGTACCAGCTTCCTGTGATACTCTGCCCATCGACCCACTTGCGTTACACCACTCGCCCTTAATAGCTCGTTTGGCGTCCGCAGGCGCCGACCCATCATTAACTCATTGGGTGAGTATCCCGTCGTGCCATGACGCGCGCCGTTGTACGCGTACGCTGCGCATGGAACCCACTGGTCCCAGTCATTCTGGTTCTCACAGACATACATCGATACCATGTCCTTCCACACCTTGTGGAAGCGCTCCACCAGGCCAAGCAGCATCGGCCGATACGGTACGGGCGTTGCTTGCTGAGCTTGCAGCGCTCGCACCAGCTTCTTGACCACTTCGCCATTCAACTCCGGGGCACCATCCATGACCAACTCCCTCATCGAGCCGTAGATCAGCACGACCCGCTCCATCAGAAACTTAGCGACAACGTCCGCCGTGTGCGCTGGCGTCGCCACCGCTACTGCATATCGGCTCGCGTAGTTCACAGCTGCGATCACATACCTGTTGCCACTGGCCGTCATGGGCAACGGACCAGCAACAGCAAGTGCCCATTGATCTCCAACCGCCCCGATGCCTTGACTACGAAGCGGCGGGATCACTGCCTTTGGCCGCGTCTTCCTCGTGCCGCAGTTCCTGCAGCTCCTCACCAGTACTTCACTTGGCCCCGCAGATCTGTCCACCAGTACGTCCTCGACACCCGTGCCATCGTCTGGGGCGTCCTCAAGTGCCCTGAGTAGATTGAGCCATGCGCTTCACGCAGCGCCTTGGCCCTCAGAGTCGAAGATAACACCACACGCCGTCCTCCGATCATCAGTTCCAGTGCCGATTCCTCCAGCTGTCACCTGTGTCGAAGACGTTGGCTGCGCACCCCCAGCCGCCGCTCGCACGCGTTGCACGGTCACAGCGGGCGTGTCGTATCCGCTAACGACAGACCCCAAGCCGCCACTACACTGCATTCCACCAACGACCGGTGCTGCTGTCATTCCTGGAGCGCTGGGTGCGGCCACCGCACGGCTGTCTTGCGTCGCGATCGCCGCAGCCAACCCCACGCCGTAACCCTCTCCGTACTCGCCGACCACGTCCAATGCCAAGTTCACTGCTCCGTTGAGTGTCGTCGGCCGTTGCCCACGGACCATCGTCGCGCTCCACGCGTTGCTCATGCCGGCCAAGAACGCGTCGACCAACCACTCTTCGTCGACCGGGTTGCTGAACGCGATCTCGCGTAACTTCTGCGCTTACTCCACGAGCGGCTCCCCACGCTGTTGACGCCGCATCCGCAGACGCGCTACGACCTCCGGGTTGGACCACTTGACCATGTACCTGTCCTTCATCAAGCGGCTCAAGTTGCCGAACGTCTGGTCCTCTCGGCTGGTAAACGAGTCTTCGACTGTGTCAAACCACAGCAAGGCCTCTCCCTCGAAGCTCCCCACCATCTCGATGAAGACTTCGTGCTTGCGCCACTCCATCCTCAAGATCGATGCCTGTCGACGCAGCTCGTTCTTCACGGCTTTGAGCCACGCCTTGACCGTCAACTTGGGCTCGTCTAGCCCCTTGAACTTCGGCAGTCTCAGCTTCTTCTCCTTCTTCGACTCGCGGTACATCACCATCGGTGCTGGTGATGCTGCCGCCGGTGCTGCTGGAGCTGGTCGCGCCGGTGGTGTTGGTGGAACCGGAGGGGCTACTCCGATCATAGTCCCCGCTGGTGGACCTCCTCTCGCCGTTGCCGTACTCGTTCCTGCTGCTAACGCTGGATGGGGGAGGTGGTGGCTGCTGATCTCCTCCGTCATTGCCACCGTCCCCGTCACCCGCACCTCCATCCGACGCGTCGACCATGACCACGCCGTCATCGTTGTCATCGCCGTGCCCAACCCGGGGCGTGTTCCCCGAGGCCACGCGCACGTTCGCCGACGCCGCGACCAGGTTTCCCCTGTCTCCAGCCATCAGCGTCGCCGTCCTTGGTGCCAGATGGACTTGCTTCGCCGCTTCACGATGTGCATCCGCCGCCGCTACAGCGCGTGCTGCTGCCGCTCCAATCACGGCAGCACGCCGCTCAGCACGGTCGTCCCGCGTATCGCTCGCCGATAACATGCTTCTAGCTCCTTAGACTCAGCCACTCAACTCTAGAAGACAAACTAATGCAATCCATACTGTCAGTCTGTGAACTCTGTATCCGTAACCCGCTGCGGTTCTGTCTGTCCGTAAACTTCTCCCTCGCCGTAAGATGCACCGTCCTCTCTGTACTCGGACGCGTACGATCCTGGTTCGGTCCCTCGGTAACTTAGCTCGCCGTGTAGGTCTCTGTACCCACGCAGCACAGAAAGCCACTGTAATCACCACCATGTGGGCAATCCGGCTGTGGAGAAGCAGGATCCAAGAATTTGGGACAAAGGGTGATCGGCAGAATGATGGATCCAGACTCCGCGATGGATCCACCAGACTGGCGGATCGGGCCCCGTACCAGGTGTTAGAGATTGCAACGGAAGACACCACGAATACGACCGGACGTCACGAATGTGTGCCCAAGCAACGCCATGCCTCGAGACCCAAGATCCAAGAGATGCAGCTGTCAAGTGGATTGGCGATCCGATCCAATCCAGATCTGATTCTGATTCGGACTCAGGTGGAAGTGAGCGGTGGATCTAAGGTCATGGCGCAGCGAAGGTAATCAAGCGACACGCAAGGAAGGTGAACAAGCTCCATAGAGTCAGTAGGTACAGATGGGATGACAGGATCCATAGGAAGATAGGACTTTGGGATGGGATTGGACTTAAGCATAAATCAGACTCGAATTTGCCTTATACATCGCAAGTGCCTTCGCCTTCGCCTGGAAACGGGAAGTACATTGGCCCCACGGCTTAGCAAGGTTCTGGTAGTGAATCTAGCGTTGGTTAAGACTGGATAATAAATTGGCCAGTTCTACAACCTTCCTAGTGACCTACTTGCAAGTGCAGATCCCCGATCCACCCGGAGTTACTACTTGGCCGGGTGCATCCTCGACTCTCAGCATCTACGGATCCCGCTATAGGAAGCGGCGAGTACGGCAAAGGAAGACCTGCGAAGGCAAAGGAAAGGAACAACAACAACCCGCAGGCAACCCCACGGCCGGATCCAGATCCAGGCCGCCCGATCCAAGTCGACTACCACTGGATTGGGAGTAACTACTGCGAACAGAGTGAAGATTTCCGCGCTGCTCCACCCACATCCCCGCGTCTCGCCCAGACTGTTCTGTCTTCAAGGCTCGGACGCTTCAGCATACACCAGAGGAGCAGATCCAGCCCTACCGACGGGTACACAAGGTGACCAGTTCAGCACACAGATCACGGATCATCGGGGGACCCCCTCCGTAAGTCGGTGTTCGGGCGCAGTTGGTAAGTTGGATTGGCAATCTCGCAGATTTTGCTGATCCCGCTACGCCACAATGGTGCGCGTGCCCGAATCTTCTGGTGACTCGGGATTTCACCGTGAGTCCCAAGAAGAAGTTTGAGTGAAGAAGGAACAAGGGGATCAAGCGTCATCGGAGTCGGGATCGACGACGACGCTGCTGAATGAACCAAGATCCACGGATCGGCAGAGTGCAAGGAGGACCTCTGTCGGCGGAACCGAGGTGGATCCAGACATGGATCTAGAAGATAAACCTCAACCTCCTCCACAGGTCCCTTCGGGGACCCCGGTGGATCGCGACGCGAGTCAAGATCCACCAACAAAACAAACCAAGGCTGGCAAGGATCGGTATGCATTTGCTGATTCACCAGTTAAACCGGATGCCTACTTCTTGTCTCCCGACAAGACCAAGTCGATGACACGAGCGAAGATGAAGGCCCCGGATCTGGATGACGATGATCCAAAAGCGTCATCCCACGAAGAATCCGAGGAGGCAGGCTGGAGACGCTACCACGAGAAGCAGTTATGTGACTTCCTGGCTTGGGATCCCATGATGCGGCTTCTTGGCGTGAAGCCGATCGGAGACCTGCAGGGGCCTGTGGCACTCCCAGCACCCGCCAAGCGCGAAGGGATCCTGGCCGAGATGGAGCGACTCATGCAGCTGCTGAAGGAGGCCGGCCTCGTAGCTGGCGCCTTCGACGCGAGAGCGATCTACGACGTCGATCCAATCCAGATCCACGCGACGACGGACATGCTGTCCAACAGGCTGAAGGAGTTGGTAGGTGAGATCCAGCTGAAGACGGATCCAGAAGTCCCGGATCCAAGTTCACCTCAAGCTGGATCCACAGGATGCCGAACGTCGTCACCATACGTGTCCACCGCGGAGCTTGGGTCGGATACATCTTCGGAGCCGCGGCGTATGTCGCTTGGACCCTCGGGAGCCTCGATGCTACGCACCCGAGCCCAGATCCAACGTGAAGCAAGGACTCAGTCCCGATCCCAGCCCCGATCCAAGAAGCCATCAACTGCTTCGGTGGATCCAACAGCTACGGCATCAGGATCGAACATATCGACCGGCAGACTTGTGTCATACTTTCAGGCAGCCATGGGCAGGTTCTTGAAGGAGCAAGGCGGGTTGACCCCGACACAGGCGCCGGAGGCGACGCAGAACCCCGGATCCCAGGACGTGGAAATGGAGTCCACTGGTTCGTCCGATCCAGATCAACACTGGGAGTACGATCCAGATGACATCGACTTCCCGGTCCCAGATACAGTGGCCACCACCGCGACCGGATCCACAGGTTCAGCCCTGATCCAACGAGTCCGGATCTCAGCGCTCTCGGATCTGAAGGAGTTCTCAGGGAAGGACCAGGATGAGGATCGGGCGAGAGCATGGATCAGTAAGGTGAAGTCTGCGTTCCTCCGGGACCAAGCTCCTGACGAGGAGAAGTGCTTGACCTTCGCGGACCTTCTATCCGGATCCGCGAGAAACTGGTATCGCCAACTACCGCGATCCACACGCAACAAGTGGTCGGATCTGCTCCGCAGTTTCCAAACCCAGTACTGTGGATTGGGGATCTCCGTTGCTCGCCAGTATTACCACGCGCGCAAGCGATCCGATGAGTCCCCACTGGATTATCTCTACCGACTTAATGTCGCTGGACTCCGCGCCCGACTCAAGATCAAGGATGGTGGATCCAAGGAGAAGCGCGAGTACGTGGATCACTTCATCGAAACTCTGGGTGATCCGGATCTAGCGGATCGGCTGACATTGCTCCGACGGCCGGATGCTGACGAGCTGGAAGAGGTCCTCCGCGCACTGGATCGGGCGAAGAATCGACAGAAGAAGCCTGCGTATGGATCCAGCAAGTACCGGCAGAAGGCCCCCGCGACGCCCACACCGGCCACTCCGGCCAAACATGTGCGTGCGATCCAGGTCCAACCTGACTCGGGATCCGAGTCTGGATCCAGCGATGGATCTGACTCCGAGTGCGACGGTTACCGCAGGATCTATCTGGCAGCATCCCAAGACCACGCGGAGCATGCAGAGGAAGAGCAGAAGACTCTGGATCGGAACCCTCCAGACCGTCCACAGCAGGATCCACCGTCTCGCGACTCCCGATCCAGGACGCATGCGGATGGACCCGAACGTAGTCGCTGCACGCACTGTGGATCCAAGCGGCACTCGCATCTTGGCTGCTGGAAACGCTTGACCTGTGAGAAGTGCGGCAAGAAGGGTCATCCAGGTGACCACTGCCTTTTCCTGTGCCGTGGATGTGGTGAACTTCATGACGTGGGCCGATGCCCGATGGAAGAGTTCTACAACCAGATCCGCCAGTGGTTCAATCCAGCCAAGCATGCGGGGATGCTGCCAGAGATGGCGGAGAAGATGTTAAACTAGGACGCTCGCCGGGTTGGAATCCGGTACGAGCCGAGCGTTCTAGATATTGCATCTATGCATTTGTGAACAAGACATCGACAGATCCAGTTTGCAAACGACAGGATCTACGCGGTATTACATGTGATCTTCATGGGAAACGTACTGCTGTGGTCTCAAGTCTCCGACAAGCTGATGACTACTCCAGATCCGACACGACAGTGGAAATGGATTTGGATCCGGAGGCACGTCAGGGATACTGGAAGCAGCAGGATCCAGACCAGTGGTTTAAGCCTGCTGAAGGTGAAGACACGGCTGGATCCAGATCCAGGCGTGTTGCTGCGAACCGGCGGACCACGGATTCACAGTCTTCGTATCTCCTACCCGGAGAATCCCGAGGATACTGGAAACAACATTCGCCAGGGAAATGGTTCCGTCAAGCCAAGATCCACGGCAAGATCAACAATGAGAAAGCGATCTTACTCCTAGATACAGGTGCCGAGGTGTCAATCGTGGATACCGCCTTTGCTCGTAAGGTTGGGTGCTACATCGACAGGAGCCAGAGCCAAGAGTGTGTTGGGATCGGAGACAACGTGTATACAACGGAAGGAAGAACACGGATCAAGATTACCTTGGGCGGATACCTGGTGTATTTCTTCGACATTTGGGTGGGTGACCTATCTGGACAAGAGGCCATCCTCGGTATGGATTACATGGTTCCGGCCGGGATCCGGCTGGATCTGGCCGACGGGACTCTCTGCCTGCCCGATGAAGTCCGGATCCAGCTCAGCGGACGCCGTCCACTCTACAGTGACAAGGCGCAGTCCGTGAAGCTGGATCGATACTTGCAACTTGGGATCGGAGAGTCCGCGGAGCTGCCCATGCGTCTGCGAGGGTCGGAACACGACAAGCTGTGGGTTACGCGAGGGGATCGATGGGTGCCAACGGTGATCAAGGGCCCAGGCAAGGTACGGTACCTGCAGATCACGAACATCGGAGAGAAGGAGCTGGTGTTGCGCCAGAGCCTCCAAGTCGGGATGTGGCTGGCCGGAGATCGAGTCCCGCGGATCCAAGGTTACGTGTCCATCGGATCCCGCCGCTACATAGAGTGGCAGAACCTCGCGCTGCAGGCCACGACGGATGCTGGATCCGCGGAGGCGGAACCCCCGGAGGCCCCACCAGGGCCTATGGTGGAGCGCCCCGAGTACCCGACGCCGCGCGCAATACTGCAGAGACAGCATCCAGCACAAGTCCGACAGGTGGAGGCCAGATCCAAGGGAGCTGAGGATGGACCGGACGGATCGACGTCAGATCCACCCGACCAGACGACCGAAGGACACATCGCCGGGACGACAGGAATACCGCTGCCCCAAGCTTCAACTACGGCTCATGCTTCAGATTCAGGATCCTGGTGGTGGACCGGGCGAACGGACTGTTGAACATCCACAGGAGTCAGATCCGGTGTCAGCAGCAGACGGCGAAGCGACGCAGCTGAGGGTGCCCCGGGTAGCATCTACCCGGGTGCAAGAAGAAGCCCAAGCTGCTGCGGCTAAGCGTACACCCGCTCCCGATCCAGACGAAGCTCCTGCTAATTGCGCGCCCGACCTGGATCCAAGCGCCGGTCCCAATGTCGAAGACTCGCTGGGACCAGATGGCGGATCGACAGACCAAGGTCCGACAACTGACACGCAAGGCTGCGAGGAGGCGCTGGGTCCAGCTGATGTGGGACAGGCGGCCCATCCCGCTGTCGCATCGGGTGGTAATCACGAAGAGACAAGGGGCGGATCCGCAGATGCAACATATGGTGCTACGGGACAGGCCATGGATCCAGTGGAACGTCAAGTTGCAGATGGTGAGATGGGACGGACTGCAGATCCAGACGGAGAGAAGAGACAGAAATCAGGTCCGACGTCAGATCCAACGTCCAGCCCCGATCCAACGACCACTGAAAATCCGCGGTACAAAGACTCAGAGGCAGATGACCAAGTCTGTTACCATGTGAGCGGAGATCTACACGCGGAAGACGTTGAAGCTGAGATGGCCGTATTGCCCGAAGTTACTCCGGCTACAGAGGAGGTGACAGTCGAAGACATCCAAGTGGGAGATCCAGATGTTAATACGGCGGAAGAGATTGACCGACTTCGGCGACGGATCTACACCTGCTGATTGGCAAAGGCAACGCGCTGCCTCCTGCGGCTCGAGGCATCGTGTGTGACATAGATGTCGGGGATGCTAAACCCATTGCCCAGCGTGTGCGGAAGGTGGCGCCGCAGTATCATGAGAAGTTGTCGGATCTGATCAAGGGATTGCTCGGTGCCAAGATCATTAAGGATTCAACTTCCCCGTGGGCATCCCCGATCGTGGTCATCATCAAGAAGAATGGAGTGGATATAAGGTTGTGTATTGATTACCGACTGGTTAACAGTCTGACCAGACTGATGGTCTACCCGATGCCCCTGATTAACGACCAACTGGAGGATCTGGACAAAGTGCTGTGGTATTGCTCGTTGGACATGGCCAGTGGATTCTGGGTGGTGACTATGACGGATCGGGCTCGTGCGATTTCCGCTTTCATCACCCCGTTCGGATTGTACGAGTGGAACCGGATGCCCTTCGGATTGAAGAATGCGCCTCAGATATATCAACGGATGCTGGACAACGCGCTGTATGGGTTCACCCGGATCCCACAGTTGGAAGGTGGATCGGGATCGGACGGCGGATCGAAGGTTACGTGTGGGATTGGATCGAAGTCACTGGATCTGGATCTGAAGTCAGGAGAGCCTGAGGACCCTGGCAAACCGTCGGTACTTGGACGGCGATCCTACATTGACGACATCTTCGTGACCGCTGGATCCTGGGACCACTTATGCGCCCGGGTGGACGCTCTGCTGGACGCGTGTGACAAATGGAATCTTTCGATCAGTGTGGTGAAAAGCTTCTGGGGCAAGAGCAAGGTGGAGTATCTGGGCCATCGAGTGTCCCATGCTGGATTGGAGGCGAATCCTAAGGATCTATCAGCCCTGACGGATCTACCCTTCCCAGGGTCCCTCCGATCCATGCAGTCATTCCTCGGCAGCCTGAACTATTACAGTCGGTTCCTGGAGGACTATGCGATCTACGCTGCAGTTCTCTATGAGCTACGAGAAGTGGACTTCGCCGCGATGAGTAAGCCGGACAACCAAAGCGCATCCAACTCACCATGGGTTTGACGACCTCGGATCCAATAGATCGGCACTCGTCGGATCCATTAGGGCCGAGGACGGTGGATCTACAACTTCGATCTACAGAGACTTTCGACCTGGAGGCGAAGGATCCTGTTGGCGTGAGGACTTTGGATCCAGAGGCATGCGACCCAGGCAATGTGGATCTACGCTGGATCCGAGCTCATCGGGCCTTCGCGACACTGAAGGAGAAGGAAGATGGCGAGGACTCCAATCCTCCGACACTTCAATATGGATCTGCTGCCAGTGGTGGTAGTGTATGCTAGCGAATGGGCCATTTCGGCCGCTCTGATGAAGGAGTATGACGGGATCCAGTACCCAGTCACCTTTACCAGCCGCACTCTGAAATCGAACGAGCTCAATTACGACGTCGTCGAAAAGGAGGTGCTAGCCCTGCTGCGGATTCTGGATCTGAGCTACAATATGTTGGTGGGTCGCCAGATCCGGGTCCTGACTAGGCACTCGACTCTGGCCTGGCTGTTTCGATCCACTGGTCTGCAAGGACGGCTCGGACAGTGGGCCGCACTCCTTTCGCCATATACTCTTGAGATTATGAAGTGCGCAAAGGGCGAGGACGAGATCCTAGGAACGCTGGCAGCCAGTATCACACCCCGATCCAAGGTGGATCGGGCATTGATCGACATCGCACCTAAGAAGGAGCCGCGACGCAATGTCCAAGCTCCGATCCCGACAGTACAACCTGGTGAAGAACTCTATGTGGTCAGCTTTGATGGATCAGCGCGTGTCAAGCGAGGAGGAGGCGCCTACAGTGCGAACCTTTGGAAACTGCCAGAGTGGAACGTGGTGAAGGCTAGATCCGGGTATGCCGAAGGTCTCTCCGTCAATGAAGCAGAGTATCACGGACTTCTGCTATGCTTGGATCTACTCGAAGGCGAGGCACAGTGACGACTTGTGATCTGTGGTGACTTCAATCTGGTGGTCCGCCAGGTCCGAGGTGAGATCGACTGCATGGCACCTGGATTGACGCTGTTGAGGCAGAAGGCGCTGGATCGACTACGTGTCTGGCCCAACCACGAGCTGGTGCATGTCAAGCGCGACTGGAACGGTAGTGCCGACACTCTCGCTAGCGCGGCACTCCAACGTCAAGCCGGAATCATGGTGGAGGGTGAAGCGGACATGCAGGATCTAGTCACCTTGAACCGCCTGGATGAGATCCTGGTGGTGAAGACCGAAGAGGATGCGTCGCTCGGGTGTCGCCCGTAACAACCCGAGCTGGTGCAAGATCCCGATCCAACTCCCGACCTACATCCAATTCACAGGTCCTACAGGAAGAAGTGGTGAGAGACCTCCGGATCGCTAGGATCCGCCAAGCGCAGGACGAGGAGGCGTGGGTCTCCGGCTTGAAGAAGTATCTGGCGGGCGACATTCAAGGTCTGACGCAGGAGGAAGCCCGATCCTACGGTACTATTGCGATGGATTACGAAATGGATCGGAACGACCTGCTCTTCTACTGCCCTCCGACGAAGAAGGTGGAGGCGGATCGCGATGGATTGATGAGGTTGGTGCTTCCAGAGACGCTGCAGCGAGATGTCCTTCATCACTACCATGTCAGTCTGGAAGGAGGCCACGAAGGGATCGGCCGTACCTACCAGCGGATCCGAGATCACTTCCACTGGAGAGGCTTGTATCGGAGTGTCCAGCAATATGTCGGAGAGTGTGTGGATTGCGAAACCGGCAAGGGGCGGCCCACGATCCAAGGCGAGTCGCCTGGCAACATCCAAGCCACATACCCGTTCCAGATGATAGCGATGGATCACATACCGTCGCTGCCCAGATCCAACA